TATGTAATTTCTATGTTATATAACTATTTTGGTATGACTTCTATGTCCTACGTATTTACTTTTATTTACTTATTTAAATTTAATCAATATTTTTCTATGACTTCTATGTCATACGTATTTACTTTTAATTTAATTTTTATATCTTATATATATTTTTCTACGACTTTGATGTCATACATATTTAATTTTATGTAATTCTTATGTTATATAACTATTTTTGTATGACTTCTATGTCATTCGTATTTACTTTTATTTATTTTTTGAAATTTTATAAATATTTTTCTATTACTTCAATGTCACACATATTTACTTTTATTTAATTTTTAGATTTTATAAATATTTTTTTATGACTTTGATGTCATACATATTTAATTTTATGTAATTTTTATGTTATATACCTGTTTTTCTATGACTTCTATGTCATACATATTTAATTTTATGTAATTTTTATGTTATATAACTATTTTTGTATGACTTCTATGTCATACGTATTTACTTTTATTTATTTTTTGAAATTTTATAAATATTTTTCTATGACTTCTATGTCATGCATATTTACTTTTATTTCATTTTTAGATTTTATATATATTTTTCTATAACTTTGATGTCATACATATTTACTTTTCTTAAATGTTTATATTTTATAAATATTTCTCAATGACTTCTATGTCATACATATTTACTTTTATTTAATTTTTAGATTATACAACTATTTTTCTGACTTCGATGTCATACACATTTATTTTTAATTAATTTTGATATCTTATATATATTTTTCTATGACTTCGGCGTCACACATATTTACTTTTATTTCATTTTTATATTTTATAACTATTTTATATTTTTTAAAATATTTTTCTATGACTTCGATGTCATACATACCTGAACTTTAAACTAATTTATCTAATTTAATCTAATTGAATCTAATCCAAACTTATCTAATTTAACTTAACTTAATCAAAATTTCGTTTTGTGTGCACTCCGTACAGTAAAGTTGTCTATGTCTAATTTATTCTTATCGTAATAAAATGGCAGCGGCCCACATTATATATATTTTTCTATGACCCCAATGTCATACATATTTATTTTTATTTCATTTTTATATTTTATATATATTTTTCTATGACTTTCGATGTCATACATATTTACTTTTATTTAATTTCTATATTTTATAAATATTTTTCTATGACTTCGATGTCATACATACCTGAACTTTAAACTAACTTAGCTTATTTATTTTTATTTAATTTTTATATTTTTTTAAATATTTTTCTATGACTTTGATGTCATTAATATTTAATTTTATGTAATTTTTATGTTATATAACTATTTTTCTATGACTTCTATGTCATACGTATTTACTTTTATTTCATTTTTATATTTTATGAATATTTTTCTATGACCTTGATGTCATACATATTTACTTTTAGTTATTTTTTATATTTTATAAATATTTTTCTTTCACTCGATGTCATACAAATGTACTTTTATTTAATTTTGAATAAATGGAGACTGGGATACAGGACGAACCCTCACTCCCTGAACTTTAAACTAACTTGTCTAATTTACTCTTATTTAAATCAAAATGGCAGCGGCCCACATCGGCGTGGGCATCTCGGGGCAGGAGGGCATGCAGGCCGTTCTGTCCAGCGACTATTCCTTCGCCCAGTTCCGCTTCCTGCAGCGCCTCCTGCTGGTGCACGGCCGCTGGTCCTACCTGCGCATGTGCAAGTTCCTGCGCTACTTCTTCTACAAGAACTTCACCTTCACCTTCGTCCACTTCTGGTTCGCCTTCTTCTGCGGATTCTCCGCCCAGGTGAGGATTTCCGGACGTTTAGGAGCCGTTTCCTTCGCAAAAAACAGCTTTAAAAATATGCAGATGGAAGCAAAACAATGGGAAATATGGTTTCTCATACACTTAATAAAGATAATATAAAGAAATAAAGAAAAAACAGCATTAAAAGATGCAGAAGGAAGCAAAACAATGGGAAATATAGTTTCTCATACACTTGATAAAGATACTATAAAGAAATAAAGAAAATATAAATATTTTTCTATTTTTCAAATAACGGCCGGACATTTAGGAGCCGTTTCCTTTGCAAAAAACAGCTTTAAAAAATGCAGATGGAAGCAAAACAATGGGAAATATAGTTTCTCATACACTTAAGAAAGATTATATAAAGAAATAAAGAAAATATAAATATTTTTCTATTTTTTAAATAACGGCCGGACATTTAGGAGCCGTTTCCTTTGCAAAAAACAGCTTTAAAAATATGCAGATGGAAGCAAAACAATGGGAAATATGGTTTCTCATACACTTAATAAAAATACTATAAAGAACTAAAGAAAATATAAAAAATTTTCTATTTTTTGAATAACGGCCGGACATTTAGGAGCCGTTTCCTTTGCAAAAACAGCTTTAAAAAATGCAGATGGGAAAAAACAATGGGAAATATAGTTATATAGTTTCTCATACACTTAATAAAGATAATATAAAGAAATAAAGAAAAAACAGCATTAAAAAATGGGGATTTCCCCAATACATCTGGGAAATATATAGTTTTTCATACACTTAATAAAGATAATTTAAAGAAATAAAGAAAAAACAGCATTAAAAAATGGGGATTTCCCCAACACATTGGGGAAATATATAGTTTTTCATACACTTAATAAAGAAATACAAAGAATTTTCTATTTTGTAAAGTAAGAATGCCTACTTCCTGTTTCTCTTTTTATGTGTCTATCTACGCCCACAGTTTTCAACCTATTTCAACAAATCAGGTATCAAAATGTTCATCTATCTCAGGACTATGTAGCTAGGACTTTTGGTGCTCAAATCTTTTCGACTTTTTAAGTTATTTAACTTTTTCTGCTTTTATTTTCTCTCATTGAAATGAATGGAGTTAAAAGTATGGCTCCCTCTGCTGGTCACTGGTATAACTTCAGCCTGTGGTATAGCTCAGTGGTAGAGCCTTTGACTCCAGATCCAGAAGTTGCTGGTTCAAATCCCACTCAATCTTCTTGTACCTTATCTATAATTTTATGGCCTTTTACTCTGAAAAGATAACCATGGAGACAGGACAAAAAAACAAAAAATCCCCCAGACATGACAAAACTAACTTATGTGATTTGTTTGTTTTTTTTTCCTCTGGTGAATAATTGTTCTTTCAGTGGAAATAAAAAACTGTTTAAGAATGATCTTCTAATCTTCCGAAGGCTTTGCAGAGTTGCTGCTGTTGAGAGGTAATAATGAAGTAAAAATGTGTTAATAAAAGGCTTTTCCTCCGTTTTCAGACGGTGTATGATGAGTGGTTCATCACGCTGTATAACCTGGTCTACACGGCGCTGCCCGTCCTGGGAATGAGTCTGTTTGATCAGGTAAGTTTTTGGGAGAAGAGCCCAGCTCAAATTGGCTTGACATCAAGCCCCGCCCACATTAAGCCCCGCCCACATCAGGGACAGACATATTGGATTTAACGTCACTTGCCTCCGCCTAATGACCGGAACAGTTTTACATATAAAAATAGATATGTATGTTTTTTTTACGATAAAAAAAACATTTTTTCTAAGCTAAATTGTACCTGGCCCAAGCTTCACAAAAATCTACGATATATAAATATATATATGTATATGTTTTTTTAACGATAAAAAAATATATAAATATATATTTATATATTTTTTTAACAATAAAAATTCATATAGATATATATATATATATATATGTGTTTTTTAGTCTGAAGTCTTTCTTTGGCCCCTCAACAACATATGAAGAAAAAAAACTGAAATTATTTTGATCAAATTAGCGTACAATAAGTAAAAAATATATGTTGGTGTAGTCTTCTACTGGCTGTTATCAGGTATATCTGAATGTGTACAACAGGGGTTTGAGCAAAGCTTTTACCGCTGAATGATGAAAGTCTCAGATCCAAAAGAAACCGGATCAGAAATGACACATTTGGCATTATAGGGTCAGTGTTAACCCTATAATGCCATATATTTTATTATTTCTATTATATTATTTCTGTTTTTTTTTCTTCATATGTTATTGAGCGGCCAAAGAAAGACTTCAGACTAAAAAAAAAATCCAAAATTCTTCCCATTTTTCTTGGATCGGGCTTTAAAATAAACTGAAGATAGAAGTTTTTTCCTATTTAAACGTAATCTGACTCTCTGCCTCCCCCTGGTGGGCAGGACGTGAACGACGCGTGGAGCTTCCAGCACCCTCAGCTCTACGTTCCCGGCCAGTTGAACCTGTACTTCAGCAAAAAGGCCTTTTTTAAGTGCGCCCTGCACAGCGGCTACAGCTCCCTGGTGCTGTTCTTCATCCCCTACGCCGCGCTCAGCGACTCGGTGAGGGACGATGGGAAAGATGTGGCCGACTATCAGTCCTTCGCCCTCCTCACCCAGACCTGCCTGCTGTTCGCTGTCAGCATCCAGGTGAGAGAAAACTCCCCGTTTTTATGGTGTGGCTTTTCGTTTCTATGGTGATAAATATTTTTCTGACTTTGA